TGGAATCTATTACTTGTGGGATTTGACCAAGTTTGGTAGTTTTCCCCCCTGCAAATGGAGAAGGGACAAAATTGTTTATGGGATAACTTACTTAACAAAAGAATTGTTTATACAATATTTCTTTGACTTTTGCTTCTTTCTTCCTTCTTAATAATCTGGCGTCCCTATGGTCTCTGGACCAAAACTATTAAAATTGCAATGCTTTTTGTTTATTCCACAAGATGGTCCACTTCAGTTCACAGTACTCGAGCATCTCTTTGTAGAGCAATATATTCTACTTTAAGTGGGCATCACATTATGCCCAACAGTTTGACTTGGTTAATATGGACAATGTTTTCTTTTCCATTTTCTGTGCATGCCACCTTAGCGGAGTCTGCGTTGCATCACCTAGTATCATCCATTGACCTCCATAGAATTAAGAAACATTGTCCATATTAATAATTTGTCTTCAGTGTAGAAGAAGATGCGTAACTGATTCTGTAGTTTGTTCACAGACGTAGCACCTGCTGTCTATATCTCATCCTTTGTAAAATTAGGACGTGCCTTGGTTTTCTGTGTCTATTTTCCATGACAAGTTCTTCTATGTCCTTGCTTGACTAGGATCTTATAACATGATTTACCTGTAAAGACTCCACTTTTACTGCTTGTCCAGTGTCTAGAATTACTTAAATTTACCCTTTCAATTACCCAAGAGTGTGGCCTAGTGGTCAATGAAGTGAGTTGAAAAACTCCACTTTTACTGCTTTTCTAGGTCCCTTCTTCTGTCTATTCCTCTATTTGGAATAGTTTGAAAAACTTCCTTCATATTTTTTCAAAACAAGACAATCTTTCTTAAGATGTCCCTCTCAACCACAATGCACACAAAGAAAATCATCAGCATCAGAAACAGTTTTGTTTTGAGGATTGTGTGGGGAATATTTCTTCTCACAGCCCAGCCCTCTTCTACTGTTATTACCCTGACTGATTAAATTTGTAAGTATTTTAGAGGAAGTAGTCCATTTGATAGATTTGTTCAGTTCCTCTTTTACACGGACCATGTCCCTCTCCAGAACAAGATTTCTTTCTAGAGCCAATTTCATCTTCATTTCAGCAGTTTGCAGCTTATTTTCAATCTCCAGCTGCAAGCTACTGGCCTCATTCTTTCCTTTAGAAACGGTAGTAGTCACCCTTTTTATCTTTTCCTTCAGTTCTGTATTTTCAGCTTCTAGAACAATCTTTTCTTTTTCAATATCAGATATTTGGGTAACTAGGCCAATTTTTTCATCTTGAGAGATGTCTAGACAATTGTTCATGAGATCATTCTCAGTCGTTAGCTCACTTATCATATCATTTAGTACAACAACCAGCTTTTTCAATTTACTAATAGAATAGTTATTTAAGTTTTGCTTGAAGTATGATAATGTTACCTCTTCATTAACATCTTCATCATCTAACTCTTCCATGAAAGCATCATCAGAGTGTTCAGAAACATCTAAATCACTTTAGGTATTTCCCCAGACTGTTAGAGCTTTCTTCACCGCATGATTAACCATTTCTATTCTGCTTGACTTCTCATGGACATAGTCCCCCTCTTTGTCTTTGCCCTCGAGAATGAGACTCTCCCATGTTCTATGCATCTCATGAACTTGATGATGCTCAAATAGTGCATACAATGTCACTACTTCAGGTTCCCTTGTCTCATTGCCAGTCATAAAATCTCTAGGAAGAATTTCCAGTATCTTAGAGACTTGCTTGCACATAGGGACTGGTTATTCAAGGAACATAAACTCATCTATAATGGTGGAGAATCTAGTACGCATTTCATGAATGGATTCACTTCTTTTATGGTGAAACTTTCAAACTGAGTAGTAAAGAGATCTAGCTTAGATTTTCTTGTTTCCTCAGTACCCTCATAAGTTGTTCTTAACAGATCCCAGATTTCCTTGACTGATTCACAAGATGAGATCAGATCGTATTCATTTATTCTAATGCCACACATCAGTAGCTTCCTGGCTTTGTGATTTTTCTAGACTAACCTTCTGTCAGAGTCATTATATTGTTATCAAGTTTTGGGAATGACTCTTGTGACCTCTCCATTTTTAACCTCCATAGTTGGCACATAAGGACCTTCACAAATAATGTTTCATACCTCAATGTCCTTAGCCATGAGATAGTCTCTCATTCAAATCTTCCACCATCTATAGAACTGACCATCAAAAAGAGGTGGCCTTGTGGGGGATTGACTTCTTTGCAGGTTCAGTGGTGTCGCCATTCCTCGTAGGAATCTCTCTCTTGGTGTTAACCAAATAGAGAGCCCAAGCTCTGATACCAATTGTTGAAATGTACGATCATTGCTCAAGGGAGTAAAACGACATGTCACACATGATTTTCAAATTGTTTTCACTAATCTTCTCAAGTAAAAGCGAAACACAGTTTACAACTGCAACCGTGAGATTAACACCCTAATCCCATACTAAGTAATATTCCTATTACTTAAATGAGCCAAAGCAATAATTCTATTGCCCACTAAACCAACTAACTCTAGTTGATCTAGACTTTAAGAACCCCCAAGGCTAACTTTAGCAACCAACTCCGATCTCCAAGACAAGAACATAAATGAGCAGCAACTTTACTGCACCACACATCAACTAACTCTAGTTGACACTCTTAGGCAACTCTACCCAAGACAACATCAAAACAATGATGTAAAAGCTTGACTAAGACAAGATGATTCGACTAACTAACTCTAGTTAATACGACTCAAACTAAAAACTTAGACAAGCACTGATCTACTATCCTTTATAACTTGGGAGTAGATTTACAATTTAAGCACATAAAATACAAAGCTCTAAATACAACAAGACGCTTCAGCACTCCATCAGGTCCCTTGTTGATATGAGCAGTGTTCTTCCTTGAAGATGGCCTTCACATTTCAAGCTTATGAATTTTCAGAGAAAATCCAAGTTTTTGTTTTCCAAATCTTGAGTTTGTGTTTTGGAGAAGAAACTATATCAAAAGGACACAAACTCATTGGGACCGCCCATTGGCTGAGAGCCTGCTTCTCTGGAAAGACATGCACCTACCACAACAGAGGTGGCAGTTTTTCTGACAGCTGTCTTGTCGTCCTTTTCACATATGCAGTCTTGCAGGGACCAGGTCCCTTGCAGTGTTCTTTGTGAGTTCTTGAGAAGACTTGCTAACTCTCTTTCTTTTTTGAATGAATGAATCTTCTTATTGTTTGTCATTTTGATTATATCGACCAAAAAGAATTATTGTCCGTTGGACAAACAACCTCATCCGTTTCTATTGGTGAAGTACGCTGACGACTTCACCAACCCGCTGACATGACAGCTTTACAGTTGTACATCATTATAAATCTAGACGAGAGAACTCTATCAGGGATCGGGTCCCTGCATTTGTGAGCCACTGAAATAGACAGTCTCGTCCGCTCTTCCTATTGGTGCAGTACACTGCACTTTTCACCTACCACCTGACATGACAACTTTACAGTTGTACCCCATTTGAATCTGGACGAGAGCATTCTGCCAGGGATTGGGTCCCTGCATTTGTGAGGATCATCAAAACACCTAGAATATCACATTTTCCCCCTTTTTGATGATGACACACAAATATTTCTCACACTGAGTTTATTCATTCATTTCCCCTGTCGTCAGTCTCAATAACAAGGATTTGGTTTCTTGTTAGATCCCTAAGTTTGTTAAATCATCAAAACTTAACATCAGCTCCAAACTAACACCTACATTATTGAGTGAGGATGTGGTAAACTGAGCCAAATGATTTTATCTTCTTGTATTTGACCTAAACAGGACAAACTCTGTGCGTTTCGGTCTTAGCCGTTAATCCAGCTACATATGAACTTTACTCCCCTTAATCCACGTTTTATTCTTAATTTTTTTGTGTCCGATTTCACTAACAACTATTTATTTACATTATGCCTTGTGAAGCAACAAAATATATGAGTATTAGATTAAGAGAACAACATATGTATGGTAGAATTTGAAAACAATCATATAATTAGGAAGATGTTCATATAATGTCCATAACCCTATAATGAAAACTTTTAGCCACTCATTATCTGATTACACGTAGAAGAATTCATAAACAATAATGAAAATAAGATTTAAAAAAAATTCTAGAATAATGATAAATATTCTTGCCTTTGCGAGTTTGCCCACTTTTTACTTCATAATTAGTCCAATTAAGTTCTTTTCACCTTCAAAGCATAAAACACTTTTCATAAGCTCAAAATCATGTGATCGAATGAAAACAAGGAGTATCAAGCTAGAAATTACTTGGAACAATGCTCAAATGTAGATAAAACATGACCAAAAAGAGTGAAAATTCACTCAACATCCGCCAACAAAAAAGATCTCAAGCAAAAACAAAAAATTCAAAGATCACATTTCAGCTCCCTTGAATGATTAGATCACCTCGTGCATTTAAATCACCTCTCTTTGTAATGAGGATATGCGTCTTCTATCCTCCAAGTAAGATTAAGGAGTCCTTGTAAGTACTTGGTGGTACAACTCCTTGAAATCTCATTACTAAACGTTTGTGGATGATGAATAAATTTAAACAAACAATTCTTTGCTCCAAGCAATTTGGGCACATCTCAACTAATTCAGTATATACATATATATATATATATATATTATACAAGAAACAATTTGCACACATCTCAAGGTAAGTACCACTTTCTACCACACAAATACCAAGTAGTTATGTTCCCCAAACGTGAGACAAATGACATTCTAAGAACACAATCGCCCCAATGTATCGATAAAATAGAAATACTACAACAAATAACATTCTCATTCACCAAAACCTTAGTTCAATAGGTACTAGCACCTATATGCAACACTTTTACACATAAGCTACTCTCTACATCTCCGAATACCATTCTCATACAGTAAAATTGTCCATCCAGTAGCTTTTTTTTTCTCATTTCTCTTCACTTTTTAAGCCAAGCTCCAAGAACTAGTCCATAGTGTTTTTTGTGTCCTAAAAACCAAACCTAGAGCCCTAATCTTATTCTACATCAGCAAAAACATGCTTTTGTGTACCAAACTGTTTGGAACTCGAACCATTGATGCTAATCATTCCAAGTTGTGGTAGAATTTATCGCGTTGGTTGCTGGTTGTAATGGCTCTTCTCTTTCTTCTTTGCTGCAGCAAGCTTGGAATTCCGTGCAGAAGCCTCTATTGCGGCTGCTCTTGCAGCAGCATCTGTCTCTTTCCCAGATTTCTTTTTCTTTGCCGAAGCCACCCTTTTCAGCCTCTCCTTCATATCCACTGTTGACACATCTTCTACTGGTCCAACTCCTCCAGTTTCCTCGGGTCCAGTAGTGGCATCTACATTGTTCGGCTGATCCTCTGATTCCTTCACCTCCTTGGATGCTTTGTCCTTCTTTTTCTTCTTCTTTGCACTTTTAGGCTCTATGGCCCCACCATTTTTCTTTTCTACATCTTCTGATGGCTGACCCTCTTTCTTCTCATTAGCAACATCTGTAATTATAGAGAAACATTTAGGAAAATCCACCTTCAGATACCTATTGAGTCAAACTAGGCATCTTAACCACATAATGACAGCAAGTGCTAACCAAAAGAAAAAGTAGTCCATAAAATGAAAAGAGAATGTGATATCAGTCTTAAGGAGGTGAGCCATCAATTTCATCACAATTTTTTTTGTTTTTTGATAACCGAGAAGTCCGTCTATGACCCGTCCTTTGGACCAATCATAGCCTTCTAAACTCGGTGGATAATGGAACCGCCCTTCTACCCTTCTCCACTTAAATACCGAGCTTCGCTTTGCATGGTGTGGGGCTTGAACATGAGACCTAAGCCACAAATCCTCCACCTTTTGCCACTTCAGCTAGGCCTTGGGGGCCAATTTCATCACAATTTCAATAACTATTTACTAAGGGAAACACCATTATCACTTATCAGTACACGAGGCAAAAGAATCACCAGGTAAGTCTTCTAGACCGTTCTTCTTTTGTTCCACCCCAAAATCAGCTAAAAGTACCTCCAATTCAGCAAGCTCCTTTTTCCTTCTCTCTTTCTTCGATAGTTGTCTCTCAGCTTCTTTAGGAGCTGGTGAAGCTTCTATCTTTTGGCCTACTGGCTCAGCATGTTCTGGAACCTCAGATTCGTGGTCATTATCCTCCACATCTTCATCTTCATCAAGAAGGTCGTCCTCACTTTCTGTTTTCTGCAAACCCAATTACAAATTTAGTATATGCGCAGTACCAACTCGAACAAACGTTCCAACTTTTATGGCAGCCAAATATTGCAATAATTTGTGTTATTTACTTCATTTTCCTTCTTTTTGAACTTTCTATTCCCTCATGAAAGAAAATTAATCCCTAAATATTGAAAGAACAAACAACACAGAAAACATAGACATGAGAGTAGGGAGTCAACAGAACAATAAATCATTAAGCAAAATGAACATACATAAGGAATAAAATATGCATGGAAGAAACTATTAACTTGTAAAAGTCCGGGAGTCCAAAGAGAAAGGAAACACTAGCTACGCTTGCAGCCACAGGCCCCAACCAAACATTCCAATTTCAAAAAAGAACATTTTTAGAACCAAAAAATCAAATAAGGAAGTCGTCTTAAAAGCCCAACATTCTCCTACAATGTGACTTAAACAAACACCTCAAAGCGATGGAAACAATCATCCTATAGGCAGTACCAACTATTGGAACTTGGAATTAAGGCTTAATTGTTATTGTTTCATTTACACTAAGTCGGGCCTTTGCCAAGAGTTCTCTTAGCTTGGCTAGAAACTTGTATGCTAGGGACTGAAGGAAACCACAGATGTTTTGATGTAATTTCAACTCCTAAGTGTTCCCTAAAAGCTAGATGTTTGGTTAACCTTTATAGTTGGGGTTAATCTATCCTCTGGTATTCACCAGCTCCTTAGTCTTATGATATTTCTTTCATAATCTCTGCAACTTATTTATGACATTTAACTTACTTCATCGAATCTGCCCCCCCGGATATTACTTCGCGCCGTTCCATAACTTGTACTCCCTCCATTTAAAAAGGAATGTCTTTTTCCCTTTTTGACAACTCTATATTTCAACTTTCCACATACATGTTTAAAGACCACAAGACTAAAGGACATTTTGTTTAGTCTAAAATCCCAAGATTCAAAAAAGTTCTCCACTTTCTTAAACTCCATGTAAAAGTCAAAACCAAACAAACATTGAAATAATGGACTATGTTAGTGTAGGAACAAGTTCGAGATAGAACTAGAACTGGTTGAGAAACACTAACTTGCTTGGAAATCAAATGACTTTCTATTGGAATTCGACAGGTCCTAAAAGAGCATACCACAACTAGTTCAGGGTTGAAAACACAGTAATTTAACTGACTAAACAAGACATAACACTGTATTTGCTTGTGGATTCTTCAACCACTTCTCAAATATAACATTGAATTTTTTCAATTATCAGAGAAGTTAAAAATACAATCTACCACACTTATATCCCTAACCTAAAAATCCAAAAAAATTCATATCCAAAGAACAGAACAATACCTCAACAGGTTCAAGTTTTTTTCCAAATTTAATGGAACCCACAAAAGACTGAAGAGGAGCAGTGGTGGCGTAGTAATCGTCATCATCTTCGACATCAACATCTGCCCAAGATTTCACCGTCAACGGCGCCGGAGCCCACAAAACTTCCGGCTCCTGTTTTTTTTCCGATGACCCTTTACTTTTCCCTTATCAGATTTCTTCTTTTTCCTCAAAGTATCAAGCGCCGCAAATACATTGAAATTTTTCACCATCACAGACCCTTCTTCCCTTCTGTTACTCCCCATCATTTCAACCAAGTAAACAAAGAAAAATAAACTAGAAGAAATTGGAGAACAGTCGTAGGAATGGATTTGTTCAAATAATTTTTTTAGGGTTTAGGGAAGTTCTTGATAGATAAATGGGGAGATAACACGAGTGAGAGAGAAGAAATAGAGGGTTATATAGTTTTGGCCTATTGTGATTTGCTCCACTAATTATATTTTTGGCAAAAAGCATAAATCCCGCCCTAAACGAATACCCAAAAGTCATTTACACAGTTTAACTAATGGGATGACCTATTACACACCTTAAGTACATAAAAGTATATTTATTTCCCCCTTCCGTCACCCAACCCAGGACATTATGCCTAGAGTGAGAGCCACTCGCCTCCTAGTTAAGTCACGTAATAAAATACCCCAATCCGATTCATTTGACCCAAACCCGTTTCTTTTCACCCAAACCGATTCTTTTCACCCAAATCCATTTTTTATTTTACCATAGTCCATTTATTTCACCCACCCGTTTCTTTTCTCTAAGAACACTAAAACCTAATCGAAAAAATTCATCTGTAAATCCTAATTTTAGCTAAAGATTTCTTTGATTTTGTGGTGTTTTTGGTACAATCGAGGCGTTCATCGTTCATAGTTTGTTGTCGTCTCCATATCTGAAAGGTCAGTCAAACATTTCTAGGATTACTTCATAGTTCATACTTTTTAGGTTAGGGTTATTTTGTCTTTACTTTTTCTTTCAAGTTTACTGTATGTCGTCTTTCATTCACATGATTCCTGTCACACCCCGAGACTACCCTCGAGACGCGAACACGGGACCTAGGACCACATGTGATCTCAAGCTAACCCTGCTGGCATGATCATGGGCATACTAAAGATAATAAACTGATGCAGAAGCTAAATCATAAATAACATGAAAAGATGGGGAATACCCATATACTATAACTGAGATATAAAAAAAACTGGTGAGTCTAATACAAAGAAGATATTAACTCAATACTAAGCTGAATCTAACTATGTCTGAAATAAGCCTCTAAACTGACTAAAAATGTTGGGACATGCC